TTTAATAAAGATGCTAAATATAGAGTTAAAAGAAGTAGAGATAGCTATAGAAGAGTTACAAGAGTTAACAAAAGTAGCCGAATTAGTAAAATTATTGTATCCTTATGAAGTAGTTACAAAAAAACTATCAGGTTCATAGTATCCAACACTTTCTCAAGCATAGTTTGCGATTAATTTTATTAAAGCGAAACTTGATTGTGTGGTAACAAATAATGTTGATGTCCAAAAATTTAGAACTCTTCTTCATGAATCAATTCAGAATCAATTTTTAGAACCAACAAAACCAATTCGACTCGCTGCTTTTCTTGATCCACGAACCAAAGATCTGCAAATCTTTACCGAAGAAGAAAAGAATCGTATGATTTCAGAAGCACGCATAGAATATCTTGAATTAGCTACTAACTATTATGAAAAAAATGATACGTCAGATATAGAACCTAGTGATATAATAAACGCTGATGATGATATATTTTCTGATCCCTCAGTTACTTACTTGCAAGAACGTTCAAGTGAACAAAATGATGATGACAATATTACTAACCGGGAGTTTAATTCATATTTACTATTACCAAGGGTTTTAAGTGAAACAGATATACTCCAATGGTGGGCCTCAAGGAAAGCCGATTATTCTATACTTGCTAAACTTGCTCGCAAGTATTTATCTATTCCAGCTACGTCAGTACCATCTGAATGCCTTTTTTCATCTGCGGGTCTCACTATTACTGAAAAAAGAACAAAACTTGATCCTCAATTTGTTGGATCAATTTTAATCCTTAAGGCAGCCCTAAAACTTTGGCCTATTTCATATGTTTTTGACTAGGTAAAAAATTTTTATACTTAAATGGTTTTGAATAATTGAATTTAATAAACTGACAAACTGTTATTAAGTAGATGATTCTGAAATTAATTGTTAGTACAGTAGATACGCTTAACACCCAGAATATATGTGATAAAGTGCTTGCAGATTAAAATAAATTATTTAAATTTTGTAAAAAATATTTTATAAAAATATAACCAACTGGTGCAAAAATTAGAGGAGAACCTTATTATATGATAGGCGGATATAAAACATTACTTGAAGATTTAAAGAATCTATTAGAATTAGGCATGTAGTCTTCTTGAACATTAATATATTATTTAGAGAGAAAATTGACTATGTACTATCGTTGTGTAAAGAAATAAAAAATAAATAAAAAATAAATTAGTGCAATTAATCGAATTTTGAATATTTATTTTTATATATGTATATAGACATGTTATTGATTTCAGCATATTACATGTAATTTAAATTTTCGTTTGAATATATGTTTGGTGTATTTGTACGAAAATTTATGGAAAAGACTGATCTTGCCAACTGATAAATTATATAAAGAAGGTTCCGGATATAAACTAAATTTTTATAATAAGCATTTTACACGAATAGATGATAATACTAAAAGAATTAGATATGATCAAGAATCTGTCGACTGGTAACTCAAGATTTCAAAAAAAAAAAAAAAAAACATTTAATTAATATTTATCGAAAATATATTATAAAGTTTTTTTAATACATCCAAGAAACTTTGAAAGTGCTAACGTCTAAGTGTTAAGCAATTTTGAATTGATAAGTTTTCTAAAAAATTTTTTTGCCAATATACTCAATCAGTTTCATTAAAATTATGAACATAAATACTTATTCATAATTACTTATCTCTAAATACTTCTTTACGATTAATTACAGTACCTAATACCCTTCAAATAGTCTGTGAGTGTAAAGATGATTTATTAACGTAAATCAGTTTTATTAAAATTATGAATATAAATACTTATTTACAATACTTATCACTAAATATTTATTTACAATTAATTACCTAATGCTCTTCAAATCATTTCTTTCATTCGCATTAATTTAGCCTGTAAGTATAAAGATGATTTATTAACATTGATCAGTAGAATTAACGATATGAACATAAATACTTATTCATAAATATTTATTACTAAATATTATTTACAATTAACTACCTAATACTCTTTCTTTCGTTTACATTAATTTAGTCTGTGAGTATAAAGATGATTTGTTAATGTTAATCAGTAGAATTAAAATCATTAATTCAAGTACTTATTTACAATTAATTATTTAATACTCTTTGAATAGTGCGTGAGTATAAAGATGATTTATTAATCATAAAATTTGCTGGATACATTAATTTGAAAACAGCTATAATAAATAATTAATATTTTTGGCATTATAAATACAAAGTTTTGTCAGATCATATTAAAAATTTCATAGTCTCTAATTGTACCGCGGAGTGCGGGTTTTTAAGCTAGTTATTATAATATTTATATTAGTTATCTGATCTTAAATTATGTACGTACAGTAAAATATTTATTATAGAATCTATTATGCTGAAAAATCAATTTTTATCAGGTGTTCCAGGAATTATAAAAGTAGCAGTAATGTAATACGTAATACTAAATTACACTATAGTTTTAATTTATTTTTAATTATAACCCATTTGACCTAGGTTAGGTCAAAATCTGACCTGTGACCCGTCGGGTCAGGTGACTCGTACGGATCACCTGACCCAGGTAATACCTCTATATGTAGCTAGTTGTACTCTCACATATGTAATCATTGCTCAAAACTATTTATACCAATAAAAATCTCACCGATAGCATGTTTATCAAGTAAAAAAAAAAAAAAAAAAAAAAAAAACATTCTAAAATCTTCTATATACTTCTAACTCTTTCTATTCTTTGCTTTGTTGCTAAACACTTCATCTTCTTCTTCTTGTAAATAGTTTACTACTCTGTCTATTTCTATTTGTTCAACTAGAGCATCTTTTAGGAGTGATAAGGAGCATCCTACTCTATATTACAGATTTTTTCTTCTAAACCTTTTATAAGTTGTAATATATGGTCTATAGAGACTCTTGTTCATACGTTGATTTTGGACTGCTTGCTGATTTGCTAGGTATTTCTTTCTTTTTTTCTTCTCATATTTCATTTTTTTTCTTCTTTGTGTAGATGCTTTAATAGCTATTTTCTTCTCTAATATTAGTATCATATAAGGCTTCATGTTCAGATCTTACCTAATTTACTCTAGGGTTTGTCCTATATATCTTTTCTGACTCATCTGCTATTTTAAACTTATTATAGTAACTTTTATCTTGGTTTTTATCTTTTTCTGATTCCTATATCAAATTTGTATCATAATATTTTAAGTTGTATTTTCTTGCTTCTAATAAGTCTCTTCTACTTTGAAAGGAAATGATAGCATATCCTTTGTTGTTGCTATTTATATTCTTGAAGATATGTACTCCTTTTGTATTTGTATGCTTAATTTGTCTGAGTAGTAGTAGCTTATTAATATTAGTTAGTATATTATATAATTTTACTATATGTTGTTTTTGGTCTTCTAGGATTTCTCTTCTATTAAAGCCTGAAGTCACTCTTACTAGTATTTTATTTTGAAGAAGGATTACCTATGATAGTAATTCTTGATTACTTCTTCTTTCTTTCATAAGGGTTATATCTGCTCTTAGCTTGTAGTATTCTTCTTTTATCATTTCAATATGTATAATTCTTTCTAGATACCTTGTAGCTTTAAAAACTTGAGATCTTGCTATTTGTTGAGGAAGGTTTTATACCTTAATTTGTTATTTGTTTTCTGAGTACTGATTATTTTTGTTAGTGTAATATAAATTTTTGTTGTTTGTAGTATTTATATTACTTTTTATTCTTCTAGTTTCAAAAACTTTTCCAAGTTCTGAAATTGTTTTTTCTTTTAGTTCCTCTCTACTAGAATTGACTTTCTTGTTTGATAAACTATCTTGGATATTATTCTTTTAGTTAAGATATTGGTTTGTGACTGTTAGTTCTTCTATGAGTAGCTGAATATGTTCATATTCTTTTTTTTATTTTCTAACTCTGTTCTTGCTTCTTTATAGCCTTTTTTATAGCCAAAACTTATTATATATCAGAGGTTACCTTTTATAAATTTCTTAAATATTTCTTTAATATACATGTTTCTTTTTAATAGCTATCTCAAGGTTTTTTTTCTTTGGTATGTATTTTTGCCTATGATATTTACTAGTATTCTTATAATAATATCTTCTTTTTTCTTATAATTGCTTATTTTAGGTGTTCATATACTTCCTTCAAGTGAGTTATAAGTTTAATTTCTTTATCTAATCTTTCAAATATTTCTTCTAGAATTTTGCTTTCTGATTTGATTTCTAAGAGATCTGTAAATATGTCTATACTCTTAATTTTTGTTTCATCACTAATCTGATCTAATTGAGAGTCTTCTTTATTTATTTCTATTTCTACTTTAATTACTTTTTTATTTTGTATTTTAATTTCTAACTCTATATATAGCTTGTTTTCTGCTATTATTTCTATTTCTTTTATTTCTTTGTATGTTTCTAATATTTGTATTGGGGTCAGAGTTTCTTCTTAATTGAGAATCTAATTTACTTTATTGATTCTATCTAAGATTGCTGCTCTTTGAATTATCTTTATTCATTTTTTAATGGTAGTAATAATATTTTTGTTAATATTCATTGCTGTTACGACTATTTTATCTAGATATGTTGCTAATTCTTCTACTAAGTTGTTGCTATTATAAATCATCTCTTTATTATATAACTAAGCTATTTTATTAATTAACTTAGTGGAATTATTTGTATTCTATATCTTATCTAATTAAATATTATCTTAATTTGTAATTAGTTGATCTACTCTTGGAAGAATTCAAATTTCTTATTAGTATAAGTGAGGCCTTCTAGAAGTCATCTAGTTTTAAGTTAGCATATATTTTTACGTGTTATATATAATTTGGTTTGATTTACTGATCTACATGTAACTCTGTTAATATATTCTAACTTTTCTTTGTTTTGATCTTAACATCTATTTTGTATAACCAAAATATAGAATTTTTCAGTATTTAGCTATTCTCTAAAATTTTTTAAAAAACAGACAAAATTTTACACAGATAAGAGATTTTTATTTGCTGTAGTCTTTTGGGAGAGTTGAATTTTCTTTTTTCTTTGGTTTCTATATTCTTTTTCTGTTAGAAATCTTTTTTCTTAATACTTTTTGCTATTCTTTTTAAGTATATTCTAGAGTTATCTGTATTTTTTCTTTAGTTCTGAATTTAGTCAAAATAATCTGCAGAGAGAGTTGTATTTCTTTATATTAGATTTTAGTAATTAGCAGAAAGAATTGTTAGAAATGTCTAGCTTTTTGTTTATCTTTATCATTCTTTTTCTTATTTTTTTTAGTATTTTAGATATTTGATTCTAATCTTTTATTACTTTTCTCTTCTAATATTTTCTTTTCTCTAACTAATCTAAACTACTTATATTTCTCTTTTCTGTTTACTAGTCTGTATTGTATATCTTCAAAGCCTTTCTCACAATTAAAAATTAATATACACTATTAATTATTTTTTAAAAATTCTTTATAGATTCATTTTAAATAAGAGTTTCCTCTTAATACCTATTTTAGTAATTTTGCTCTATGTTCTTCATTATCTCTAAATATATTTGCTACTATTACTTTTACTTTGATATCTATTTTGTTTTTATATTTTTTTTCTCTTAGTACTTAGATACTTTCATCTAAGAATTTTGCTACTTTTATCTTTTCTTCTTATATAATTTTGATTCTTTCTATTTCCTTTACTTTATTTTGAAAAACTACTTTTGTTAACTCTTGTAACTCTTCTATAGCTATCTCTACTTCTTTTAACTCTATATTTAGCATCTTTATTAAA